GTCGTCTGCGTTTTTCCTTTCTCCAAATGCTAGGAAGGGCATCATATTTGCGGTTCAGTAGAGCAGTCCATGATGATAATACAAACAAGAATTAATAGAAGATTTCACTGTTGATGTGAAAGGGAAATGGCGAAGAAGGAAGTCTTTAATTTCCGCAGCTTAGAGGTATGCGGCGTAAGGTTTTCTTGCTGCATCTGCTGATTCCGTTGAACGTGAAGGAAAGTGATGAGGGGTCTTCGTTTTCTAGTGGCACAACAGTTACACTGGCCATCGACGGAAAACATAACAGACGCTTCGACTTGACGATTGTCTGCAAGATGCAGATGATCATGGTGGACTGAACGTCTTAAGTCACATTAAATGAACTGTGCTTCATTCCATCTCTGGTGTGGTGAGTGGTTTACTAGTGAAAGAATGCGAGCTACGTAAATGGGCATTGTTTGATATGCCTCATCGTGCCTCCTTGCCGACGGACTAACGCACCACTGACGACGTACAGAAAAACGAGTCCGCCTCTGCAGATGGCCCAAACAACAGCCGAATCTCTGTACCAGATACATCTAGAAGACTCATAAGATACTAGTCGAACCGTCGCAATCAGTCAGTCACCCGGTAGATCAACTGTATTGTTTGCTTATGAATAAGCCACTCTTTCACTGTTTTACAGAAGGGTGGGAAATGGAAATTTTACATCGTTCAGTGTCTCAAACCTATATGATTGATTCCATTCGTAGCAGCTCTCTTCCATTCTGATTTCGGTTAGTCTACTCTATGTCCTCAGCCAACACGGCCTCACCTCTAAAGCTAACGTTTACTGTCATGCGATCATTTCTTATTCTACTTCTTCTTCATCATCATCTTCCATGGCAGGTTCTCTCTTTGGGCCGCAGAGGCAAAAGCGTCAGGCAGTGCTTCCAACGTTTCCGATATTGTTCTGGAGTCTGGAGCAGACTCTTCCATATATTTGCACCAGATTAATTTATGAGATCATGTTGACATATAATTTTGTCTCTTGGTTACGCTGATGTACTCATTTATCCACTGCTAGGGTAGAAAGCCAGCGATTCTGCCATTTTTGATGGCGATAACTTAAATAAGACATAGAACAAGATTCGTTTTCTTCAATTCAAATGACCCAGGACATTATTCTGAAAACTTCAAAACGAATTGAAATTCATTTTCTGACCACCGTCTTTTCAGGCCAAACGATTTTTAAATGACTTTGTTACAGAGATACTTCGGATTAATTTTAAGCATTTTGGCCGTTTTTTAACGGTTATATTCTAACCCATGTGCAATCCGTTTACGTCAATCGTGCTTACAGAAAAAAAGCTATGAACAAATGCTGAAATCTACATACCCATATATGTCTAGTATTCCGATGTTCCGTTGTAAAGTTTTATTAGTGCCGGCGGTCAGGCAGTTGTTGATCTGCTGGACAATCCAGACGAACAAACTAGCGTAAATATGCTTGGAAGTGGCATCTCTGGCTGCTTTCGCCTAGATATCAATTCTGTTATTCTAAACTCAAGAACAGTCGTTGAAAATATCACGCAAATCGTTTTTGACACCCTCGCATGATTGGTCCCTTTCTCTACTTTATTCATATCATTTTTCTTTTCTGTGCATTCGCAAAGGCAGTCCATTCATCAATTAATCATGGGAGGTGCACGCTTCCTCTTGCCAGCTGAGCACATTAAGCTTAAGAATCAGCGAGAAGGGGAAATATCGTTCAGTTTTTGATGAAACGTAGCTCGTTTTCAACCATTTTTATTGAAAGAACCGCGGAGTTTTTGGAAACAATAATAGAAATTTCTAGAAGCAAAATTTTTTAAAACAAATTCCTCGTAATTTTCTTTTTGCATGACTATGAGGAAAGTTGGCGTCAAAGTGAATAACTCACCAATCTGGAAATTTTCAGCCTTCATCAGTCAGACCGACCTTTCATATGACACCCAGGGCCCTATAGTTTTGCCTTCTACACTTCATATCTCATTTAATCGTTACTGTAAATAAACGCTCAAATTCATGATAAATTCCTCGTCAAAAAATGAAAGTTTCTAAAATGCATTTTCAAGTTACTTCTTCAATAGTTAGTCCCTTTGTCAATTTTTCACCTCCAGCGTGTAGCAGGCGGTTGCATAGCCAGTGATTCAGCTTAACGTTGTCTATCTTCAGCAAGGTGGAAAACATCTCCAAATTTTGCACAGAGTCCGGTCGAATATCGGCGACGTCCGGTGTCGACGATGACTCCGTGAAAGCCACGTTGCCCAGGTGAAGAATCGCCGCTAATACAACGTAAATTTGTCGCATTGTGTCCTTCTCAAATCCTACACGTTCATTCACGTAAGGCGAAAGTCATCTTTACACAATCCTCCTTACCTAACTGCAGAAATGCTTCATGAGTCTCGTA